AAAATTCTGAACTTGATGTTGATTGACAGACAGTTGTTTTGAGTTCCAGATATTCTTCAGCTGTAGATATGCTGCTCTTGCTTTGCCGATCCTCATGCAAACATAACAATAATTATTAAGTTTTATCAAAAAATTTATTACAATTTAAACAAAGTACGAATTTAGTATTCTACTTCAACATTTTCTAATCAATTAAAGAGATACAAATAGTAAATCATTATGATTAACATCAGACTGTATACTTTAGTTGTGAAAAATTTTGACTGATGTTCAGTATATGTACCAGGAAATCTTAAGAACAAAGTGACACATACGTAATGAAACTAGGATTGATTTCATGTTACAATGGGTATAAACTGTCAAATGAATGATTCATGAAATATTGATGACGATTCAACAATGACAGATTACATGAACGACTATCAATAACTTAAGTTGCATAATCATATTCATAGTGAATTATTATTTTGTAATAAGACAGATAAGTGTTATATCATTTTTATTTAGAAAATAAAAGGTATTAAATTCTTTCAAATGTCCATTATAAGTTACGTCATAATGATTTTCCTCGAAGTTACACTGACAATAATTAATTATCAACATATCAAGTCAATAAACTCCATCAGTAATGAAGAAGATTTGATTCATGAACATTGAATTCAATAGGGAATAGGATCAAATAAATACAGAAATAATGAATGTCAAACTCTATGAAAAATATTTGTTATTCAGTAGTATATCAGTAGTAGGTACTTCATTTGAAACATATTGAACCATCTAAATGTATGAAAATCAGTTCAGTTACGATTGTAAAGTACAGTATATTGATCTCACAAAGCGTACATTTTCCAATTCCATTTCTGAGCACTAAAATCAATAGCTAATTAAAGGTGAATACATGGTATTGTCACTAAACTAAGACATTTCAGTGGAGGGAAATTTTTGGGTTGATTTCATTCACTTTGATAGAACAATGAGAAGACAGAGTTGATCTGAAACATGTGATGTATTCGTGTTATACATTTCGAACAATCTGGTCACACACATATACTTGTCAGGGCATTTTATATAAAAATTAATAACTTACTTACTTACTTACGCCTGTTACTCCCAATGGAGCATAGGCCGCTGACCAGCATTCTCCAACACACTCTGTCCTGGGACTTCTTTTCTAGTTCCATCCAATTCTTCTTCATTTTTCTCATGTCTATCTCCATTTCTCGCCGTAATGTGTTCTTTGGTCTTCCTCTTTTCCCTTGACCTTCAGGATTCCATGTGAGGGCTTGTCTTGTGACGCAGTTGGGTGCTTTCCTCAATGTGTGTCCTATCCACTTCCAGCGCTTCTTCCTGATTTCTTCCTTCGCTGGGATCTGGTTTGTCCTCTCCCACAGTACGTTGTTGCTAATAGTGTCCGGCCTGAAGTCCCTCCGGGGGCTACTGCCGGTCCCAAGCCCGGATAAAGGAGGAGGGTTGGGCATGGTGTTAGCGTCCCCATCCCGTAGAAAACTAACTCGCTAAAAAAACGCTAACCAGAAAAATTATTCAAAAATTAATAAAGGTCAATTAAATAAAAGTTCAAGTAGAAAAAGTAACAAAGGGTAGAGAAACAATTTTCCATTGTATAGATAGAGTAAGAAATTCTTGCGTTATCCTATGCCATAGAATGACTTAAGGATTACCAAGGTAAATTCAAGGTTACCACAAATTGTTTTTATACACATAAGGGGGATTTAAATTTACGAATAGCCAAGGCTTCAACAAACTTGGGAATTCGTCCTTGATAATTTCTATACGTTTTAAAATCTGTATTATTGTCACTTTTGTACCCCGTTTCAATTATATGATTTTCTACCTCCCACGTTGATCGGATCATTTGACACCAATTGGTTTTTAAGCCATCTGGGTACATATTCAATGAACCAAGACGAATCGGTTGTCCAGTGCTTCCACGTTTACCATGATGTCATTTAACACAGCTGTACAATCGTATTTAGTCGTTTTCATTACATATAATAATAATAATAGTAACAATAATAATAATAATAATAATAATAAGGAATTATTACGTCATTCACAGAAGTACTAAAAGCCAACTGTAATTTAAAGTTAATAAGAATGACGACATGTAGAAACGAGATATGAAAGATTATTCACTAAACGATTATGGGGAAGATAAAAATATGAACAAATAATTTCAATAGTTGAAAGCATGAGTCAATTGAAGATGGACCACCATGGAAAACCTGGAAGCGCTGGACAGCTCTTTCGTCCTAGTATGGAACTCCTCAGTAGCGTGCATCCAAGAGTCTCCCCCCCACGTGATTCGGATCCAGGACCTATCAGTCTCGCGCGCGAGCGCTTAACCAATAGACCCAAAATAACGGTCCACTTGAAGAATACAGCAAGATAAAGACAATAAAACAAACAAATGGTAAACAGTTACTAGCAAAATATGAAAGGGTGTTGTAACCATTGTTTTAACGAAGAAACTGGACAAACAGCTTGAAAAACATGATAAAGATCAGGATTGAATTGATGAATTTCCAAACGCTTTGTTATGTATAAGTTTCAAATTCAGCTACTCACAATGGCCCTATTAGCCCCTACTTATTTTATAAGTCTATTTGCAACTTATTCACTTTTTCTTCATAAATTGTCCATATTTCCCAAGTAAATAATTGTCTTTGAGCTGAAGACTCTTACGCAACCTATACTCACTAGTGAAAATTTTTCGATACTTTACCACTGCCAAGGAGTCCCACAATAGGACGAAACGGCCATCTAGTACTTCCAGGTTTTCAATAGTGGTTTAGCTTCAACTGACTCATGATCTTAACTATTGAAATTACTACAATCTCCACAGAGCCCCTTATGATAATTATCATAACTTTGTTAACGGACTCGATTTCTTGCCATTATCGACTACTATGTGTTAAAAGTGACCATAAATATGACTGAATAGGTCAGGTAAGTGACTTAATCGATAAGTTGAACTTCCTTCTATGAATACCATTTATTCTATTGATTAACTCAATGAGCTTGTTTCATTGCTTTGAAATAAGTGGTTATGTAAGCAAGCAGTATAATGGAGTAAACACCAGTAGGTGATTAAAAAAGGGAAGTTACTACATACAAGTCGATAAGCATTACATCATATGTCCTTTCGATGCATAGGCATCTGGTCCAAATAGCCTGATGATAATTGTCTCTGTAAAACGGGTTAATTTGATTCCAAACATCGTTTGTTGTCCTCGTTTTCTTCGAAATTATCAAGAGAGCAAGATGCATAAATTGACTTTACAGTGATAATCATCATATTTTAAGTAGTGATTAGCCTACAAATAGCTTGAGCGAACGTTTGAGAAAGGAATTGTAGCCTATGTCTGTAAGCTAACTAAGAGTGATGCAGTAACTTACTAGATAAGGATAAGCCGTTATTCCGAATCGAATAGATTTATAAACAATAACCTATTAACACACATATATTGGTAATTTCCTGTCTCCATGCTCACACTAGCATCTGACGTGCATTTGTTCCAGGTTCCAGATTGTTAGTCACAGAATGACTGTCAACAGTTAGCCATTCATACAAAGGGAGCTCAAGACCACTGAGAAGTGATCAAAATATGATATTTAGGCATTTCAGTGCTCTCCTACATGACCCGTTATTAAGTTTAAGACTTGAGCAACAAGCTGTAAATCTACATATCTTTATTTGGTTTGAACTAACCAGCAAGGTTTCCTATAAATCTTTGTCGAAATCTTCACACATGATTCAACTCAAACTTACTCTATCCAGTGTCCGAGTCAGAGACTTCTTCGAGGCTGTTTGGACTACTGGTTTTCTCCTATAGGACTAAGATATCAACATTGATTGACCATTCTTAAGTAACCGCTATCATGTTTCTGCAATCTTGTAGTGATGGTCGAGCCCAATGTGACTACCACTCTCAGTGATCCAATATTATGTTATACTCTGTTCCGTAATAAACAGCTTTCACCAACAGTAGATTCTTATACACTGCCTATTCTTAAAACGAATGTTCAATCAGTCGTCGGTTTTTCATGTTTTAATTGAGGTTGTTACAGGTGGTTTCATTATTCTAAATTTTAAAAAATATAGGCGGTTAAGCATTAATTCGCAAGAATTTCATACTGTGACAACATTCGTATACTTATATAGTTAAATATACCCATTACGTACTATTTCTGTTACTGTGTTGCTTCGAAAGACCGACATAATTTCATTAAAACGAAGTGCCACAGATCGAATCCATTTTCTTAATCATGTTAAACTTTGATTGTCAATTAATTGAAACAAACACACTGTTCGTATTTTCAAAGGAAATTGAATAGACCTCGACACCCAGAGAGAAAAGGATAAATGACGGTTAACTCGAACAAAACTCAAATCTTTCAAATCCATTTCATAAACATAAATTTTGTCCTATTGATTCGCTGTAATTACAATCATGTCATCTAGTGATTTAGTCTGGATTTAGTTTGCAATCTCTCATATTTGAACTCACTCTCACGGCTAATTGGGTAAAAGAGGTTTAGGAGTCGTGATGCTTGAGATTTGCACTGTTGAATACTATTAGCAAAATGTGCATCAAATGGCAGTATACTACCGCCGCTCATCATGTTTTTCTCTGAAGCAAAAGAAATAGGAACACAGCACTTGGATTCATAAACAGGGGCTTTTTCATGACCATCATTACAGATTTATTGTAGTTAAATAACTATTGAAAATCAGTAAGCACTCGGTATCTGTTCCGTACAGACATGTGACTCCTTAGCAGTGCTCGTCCACTGGTGACCAAACACCAGACATTTGGTCTCATACACAGACGTACATTTATCTCGTAATACAAGTAGAGTGGTTTTAAATTACGGACACTGTTTTCTCTCACTCTATCCAAACCTGTTTATTTGATATATTCCAGTGTTTCAGTCCTAATTCTTAGCTATTCGAGTGAGTTCAAAATCTTTAAGATGATCGGAGTTTTAATGAGTAAAATAATCAAAATTATTGACATTATCGTAACACTATTTGTCAATAAGTTGTTTTATTTAGAACTAGTTCGGATCCTTCTAATCTATGTTTATTGTTTGTCAAATGTGAAGTTACAGAAGTAGTAGAATGTGAAGTGTCTATACACTTTGCTGACATAACTCCACATTTGGTAAGAAGCAGCGTGTCAGTTTAATTCATTTAAACAATCAATAAAGGCAAATGAAAAGATAAGTCCGAAAACATTACTTAGATTTTATATTTTCCGTTGATATTACAATATTAAGTCCAGTAACCTTTGCTTATTCATGTTCTTTTTTAATGTTTTTTGAACAAAATACAAAATTCCATTATGTGTTTAATAAATGACAATAAAATAAAAATATGAAGAAAAAGAGATTTAATTATATAAATTCAAAGGCTTTTGGAAAATCAAATTTGGTGTTTAAACCTTCAATAATTTTAATCTCAGTCAGAATCGCCAGATTTGATAGCTCGAATAACACAGATAGCAAAAACAATACACAATAATTGAAGGATAGCGAATACAAATGCCGCTACTAAAACGGCGACAATGTACTTTTCAAAGAAGGAGATTACTTTGTATGAACAACCCTGAAATTAAAAAGAACATTATTACGTTTGACTAAAATAGAGATCAAGTTTCAGGAAATAATTGTCCTATTTCTGATGTTAGAGGTCAAAATCTTTTAACGTCGGGTGGGTGGTATCCTGGAAACATGGTCTGTGTTTTCAAAATGACCGGAGATAGTGTGCGATATCCATGGCTGACTCAGAGTGTTGGTCATCAGTTTAAATAATCACCTATGTTTATACCATGCCTCACCCAGAAACAGCGTACTCTAGTGGCAAGCAAGCAAGCAAGGAAAACATTTGTGATTTGATGTGCTCTTCAGACAAATGCAAACCTCACTGGTCAAGATTATCTATCCACTACTGTGAAAAGTAAAAGCGTGAGTTGAACCACACTAATAACGGTCAAACATATTTGCCGTCGTACTAATAATTGTATCCAGTGTGCAATCATTATTCTTTATTAAATGCTGACTCAAGTAACAATGCCACTTAGTAGGGATGTGATCAGACATGATTCACTTGAAAAGCAGATCTCTACAACTATGATCACTAACTTTACCCCATCATACAAAGTCAGTGTGCAATGCTCACCAAGTTTATGGACGATATTAGGCCGAACGTCTAAATTTATAAATATGAACTACCAGATATAGTTCTGGCTTGAAGTGTGATCCTGAAAGTTTAATGAAATGACTACTATTAGCACCTGAGTATAAACGAGAATTTCCAGACTGTAAACAAGGCTGAATATCAAAGATTTTTAACGTGTTTTAAAATTGATTGAAGGTGGTCATAATATCTACACATTGGTAATATTTTGCGTACCCGAAATTTGGGTAGTCATTTGCAATGATCATGTGGTTCTGTGTAAATTAATAGTTACTTCAAGATTCGATTTACCTAACTGCAAACATCTTGAGGTACTTCCTGAGTCTGAAATCTCACGGCGTAGGTCAAAAAACCTCCTATTCTATTCATATCAGTGAAGAAAGCAAACAGAAGATCATGTTCACAACTCCAGGAAACAGTAAGTCCTGAGTAGTCACGTTGGCTGAAGATAGTAGTACTTTAAAATTGACTGTTAACAGGCATTTCACAAAGTATTTATTCGGGATTTCAAGCTTGTACAAACATTCAAAGCAGTTTACCATTGAGATTTGATAGATTAGCTTTCACTCATGTACAAAGATTTTAATTTTCACTTTTCCGTTGCTCGTTATTATTTCAACACATTTTATAAGTTTAAACATCCTTTAAATAGTTAATATAAGAAACGTATTGAAATAATGGAACATCCCACATCACATCTCATAGATTTTTGAAGAAATATAAAAGTTAAGAAGATATTTTGAAGCCAAAACAAAATTTCTCTCAACTTACATCTGAGTATATAGCCTTAGTTTTTGTATCTTTACATGAGTCAGGGACGGTTTGTCCAGATGATGTGTAGTCACTTGAGGATTCAGAGCCGCAACATTGAAACTACAAAATAAACTACAGTTTGTAATGGTATACCTCTTGTTGTATCTTGTCTAAGAAATCCTTAAAGTCCGGATTCTTGCTATATTCATTGACGGAGCTTTTAACCAAAGATAGGAACTGAGATTTTACTTCGTCTCTCAGCACAGCAGCCGTTATTCCTGCCGCTATTTCAGCCGCAACCATGATTGACAGAAGAATTGCGTACTTTATTTTAAAATAAATGTATGTAGCAATTTACCAAGATTAGACAACAAGTATTTTTGGTACATGCCCCACAAAATCCGAGAAATCCAAGCAAAAATAGGAAGCATCCGAGTACTATCACGAAGATTACGAGACCTTTGATGCTTGAATCGATCCCAGAAGAGTAGTTATTAATAGCAACTTGAGAGAGACTCCCAATCACTATCAAAGCAATTCCACATGCCTTTCAGGAAAAACGTATTTCACCATATGTTATCTAACTTACAAAAACAAGGATATTAAATATCACTAAAAGAATCTGCAGACACTTATAACCGCAGCTTAAAGAGGCCATATTCGAAAGGTTGCACGGAAAGAACTTATGAAGTTTATATAGCTTCAGGGTCGTCTTTGATACCTTGAATAATAATGGCGTAGATTAACAAAAATGTAAGTTATTATGTGATTTGGCAGAAAAGTAGGTTCGCAAATGATAAGTCTCGGATGCACTCACTGTACTGAATTAGTTCCGAAAAGGAAACTCTGTAGCGGTAAATAAATCCTCAAAATCAATAGCCCTGTAAGTCTTCGACATTAGATGCTGACCACATTAGTTTTAATGTACTTGCTTAGCTGAAAGTGCTCGGTCATGCATCCGCACCCGATCATGATTGAGAACTTCTTGCTCAACATCCCCTGCGAACGCCAGCCAGTTTAGACCAGTCGGTTTTCGATATATTGATAATCTATCAAATATATCTTCAAACCTCCACGCTTCTGACTTTAGATTTTACTGGATGGGCACGACTCAAACTGGAAATACTTGTGGCATCTTCAAATCACTCTGACTGCTGTCTGATATTTTTTAATCTGCATATATTTGTGTCATTCATACTAACTGATGATTTCTTTGTACATGATTGCGCGCTTATTGTGACTACCAAATATAATACGTTCGCGTGTGACTATCTGGTCCTGCTCGCCATAAGTTGTACTATTTCGAGAATTCTTAGCTAGCATATAAACTTAGATACTACTAGTTATCATACTAGAGGCGCATTCGATTTAAGCTTGGATAGTTGGATATTAATTCAAGTGTGGCTGACTTTGAAAACTAGCGCACGACTAGAAAAGATATTGAAGATGGCAAATTCACATGTTATTTCTTGATACTAATCGGCAAAGAAGCTTATAACCTGCTGAATTATTTGGCTTTTCAAAGAAACCGACTTCGTTGTCATATGAATATCACAAGTTATTGCTATTTAATCGTATGCATTGTGTTAGCTTTGAAGACGGAGAAAGGGATCGAAGTTTCACAAAATGATGTGACGGAATGATCCAAAAGCTGAAGACCTGATGCTTGAAATACAGAAACTGGTCACAAAGTGTAATTTTAGTGACCATTTGTGGTCGGGTGATTGCTGGGATAAACAATTCGAAGTAAAATGAAAATTGCCTTGGAAATGAAGGCGTTCAGTTCAAGCAATCGAGCCAGCGTGTGTGAACTACGAGGCAGTTAAAGATGCCGCATGCATTCGGAGTTTAACAGCGCCTCCACATGTAACATATTAATAATTGACGTATGTCAACTCAGTTAAATCAGAAGTCAGAAATGAAGAGGATCGAAGATACACTTGGGAGGCTATCGGTATGTCGTGAAGAGTGAGGTCTATAATGGCCAACATTTGTGAGGGATATGCAGAACAGTATAATCATTCGTGATCTACTACACATGAGTAAACAATCACATTCAACTAGGTGTGCATAGAAATAATAATATGGGGTAATTCTGGATAACTTGAGCTCTGTATCCTATTAATGTATAAGAAAATGATACTGCCAGTTAGAGAACAGTAATTTATCAACCGGACCAGGGACCAATGAAACCCGTATGAGCAGTCTAGAGTTTTTAACGGTTCTGCGTCCTGCCTAGCCCTATCAGTTAAATCCACAGACCAATCTCAGCCTCTGCGATATGACTCGCTTATTTCAAACACGCTGGGTTTATATGCCAAACAAACAGACCACATCGTTCAATAAAATAGAAAATAACGTCTGAACAAATAATTTGTACTGATAAATAATATCTGAACTAAACAAACTGAAGAATTAGGTGTTAACTGTTTTAAAGCCATCGAATCCCGTTTTTTACTGTTCGCCTGTGTCTACGGTCAATCTAAAGCATCAATAGCTGAAGCAGCAGTATTATCAGAGGTATTCACACTACCATTATCCCTTCCATTCACAGGCAAGCTTATTTGTCGTGATTTCAACATGCCCGAAGTTTCTTGGTTCCCAGTCAAGAGGCCGAAACGTTATAAATCATTTACTGAATGTCTAGAGCTTCAACAGTGGACTCAGTATGACAGTAGACTTACTAGACGTCAAAATTTCCTGGACTCGGTTTTCACCAGTGGCCTCACCCCCAAAACTGTGTATACTAGAAAAACGTTTCACGGTAGTGACCATAACACTGTCATACGTAAACCGGTAGACGTAAAACCGTAATACTTCGTAGAAACTATCACAAGGCTGATTAGAACAACTTCCACAATTACCTAAGATGCACTGATTGGGGAACTTTCTTTTCTGCAGACAATACCGACACACGAACCAATATACTTTATCACAACTTCAGAAGTATCATCAACAAAGTCGCAACTTTAGAATTCTGGAGAACTAAGTTCTTTAAAGATCTGTATATACCGGTCGGTACATGAAGACGTCTTTAAAGACATTGTACTCGATTCCACAAGTTTAACCAATCCCAGTACCTCCCTGTGAAATTACCAATGTAGACTTCAATGTACAAAATGTCTCTAAGGCAATTAGTACATTGAAACACTCCAACACTGATGGACCAGATGGTATTCCCGGGAACCATACTTATATGCTGATGATCTCAAAGTTGTATACAGCTATTAGCCTGAGACTCTAAGTGAAAGTGTATCCCTGATTAAAAACGACCTCAATAACCTAACCATCCGGGGAGAGAAAATGACAATTACCATTTAACCTCAACAAGTGCGGGAAAGCAGCCCTATGAACTACAACATTACTTAAATAAAAACAATGTTCAGACACTCAAATCAGTAGACATACAACTCACTAATCTTATGGATGCTGATCAACTAAGGCCGATCATAAGAAGCTCATAATATGCCAAATTCTTGTAAATTGCACAGTGTTTATTTTTCTTACCCTGTAAATTTTGCAATCTTATACTCTTTAATATCCTTTGGTTTGCTATTAGTCCTTACCATCTCTTAACGACATATAATCTGACAAGTCTCTTTTGGCTTATACCATTAGTTATCTTCATAGCAGTGTGATATACTAAATGGATGTCTAACCCATAATACGAATGTTTTAGCCATCTGATTTGCTTATAAAATGGAACTAGTAGAGATAGTGTGTTCCAACTATGGGTTTCGATTAAAGCAATATCTCATACTTACTACAAACGTAAGAGAGATTAAAATCGCAAGATAATAATACTATATATGTTCTGAAAATAATAATTACAGAATTGTCTCTAGTTTACAGGCATGATCAATTTGATATAAATAGTAGTATTAGACGTAGAGATCAAACGTGTGATAGAAAAAAGTTTTAAGTATACTAGTTCAGTAATTGTTTGAGTAGTACATGTATTTTAAAACGATGCAATACATCAGCTGGAAACTTTTAATTTTTCTTAAATGGACAGCCTGTTGATTTATTAACGAAGTAATTAATGTCATTTAGTGTGCCAGATCGAATTAATGATAATTATCTACAACTCGAGAAATTAAAACGGAAACAGATAGCACGGAACAACAAAGCAGTAATTATCAAAATATGTCAATCAGGCCTACCAAAATGCGTGTGTCATGTGACACAGTGATATACTGTTGATGTTATTCAAATTAGTTAAACTTGCTAGGGACGGTGTTAACATAAAGTGATAGCATCTATGTGGTTCTACTTAGGAAATGCACTAACAAAAATGGCTAAACAATTAAAGTTACTATAATAACACTTGTGGAATGAGATACACTTACAGGTGCCTGAACATTCAATGCATTTTTAAAAGAGCAGTATGCATCGATACAGTTAACAAATAATGGGAGTGATTTTATCGTACGGACAGATTGTGGTAGATTATTCCATAGTCTAGAAAATTTACAGGTGAATTAATTCATATAAAGAGATGATTTAGGATAAGTTTGTTTCACTAGTGACATGGAGTTATGGATGTCATAATGAAGAGTTTCTGCATATTGAATCACGTGATCGGATGTTAAGGATAGTTAATAAGTAGTTTGAAGAAGACAAGACCTAGTTTGAGTTTCCTCTTCCATAAAGGGTCTAGCCCGAGTTTATTACATCTAGAATTATAAGTTAACGTACAATCAGCTCCAAGAATACGAAGTGTAAGTAGTCTCTGTACTGATTCCAGCCTTAATTTATCCTTTATGCACGCACTGCTAAGAATAGACGTGCAATATTCTGGAAGTGGTCGAACACAAACTTTGTACATCGAAACACGTGACTCATTGTTATGAAGGTTTCGGGTTATGTAACTTACCGAACGTTGAGACTTAGAGGTCTGTTTCAATATCTGTTCTGTAAACGACAAGTCTTGGGAGTATCTAAGTCCTAAGTCTGCTACTGTGTGTAACATAGATAACACTTCTCCATTTATGGTAAGGTCTAGGTTGAGTGATGTATCGCAGAAGCATATCCATCCACATTTAGCCATATTAAGCTCCAGTTGCCATTTTAAGCATCACTGTGCTACCTTGTTAAGTTCCATGCCGATGCAATTTTGCATATTTTTCAGCTTATGTGGAGAAAATGAATATACTACTTTAAGATCATCTACATATAGAAGAGGCTTACCCACACAAAAACTTTCACAAATATCATTGATAAACACCAAAAAGAGCAAAGAGCCTAAGACACTGCCTTGTATTACACCACTTCTAACAAGGAGAGCGTTAGACAATGAAGAGTTAATTTTAACCACTTGATGTCGATTGCTGAAAAAGGAATCAAACCAAGCTAGCAAAAGATTTTGAACCCCATAAGATGCGAGTTTACCTATAAGAAGTTGGTGGCCAACCATGTCGAAGGCTTTAGAAATGTCCAGATATAGCACTAAGACTAGATATCCTTGGCTATGTAGAGAATAGACTAAACTAAAGAGGTCAAAATAGCATGTCATGCAAGAAATCCATTTTGAGTATCATCGACAAAGTTTCCAGCGAGTAAATAATTGAAAAGTTCATCACTTACAATTTTTTCCATAATCCTAGAGATAACTGGAGTAATATTTATTGGCCGATAATTGATCATGTCAGTCTTATCTCCAGATTTGTAACGTGGCATGATACACGCGGTTTTCCAACAGTAAGGGTAAGAACCAGTTTCTATAGAGAGAGTAAACAGCTTTAGAAGAAGAAGTGGAATATCTGGACCACCATATTTGTAGAGAAAGGATGGAATCCCGTCTGCCCCATGACTTC